GGCCTTGTCACATTGATCCGTGTGCGTTTGGCGCAGATGCTCGCGTGTTCTCGTACCGCTCGGTTTGGCAGGGCTCAGACGTGATTTCTCACAGAGAGAGCCGCCGGGGTCCTTCCTGGAGACGCAGAGCCGTTGTTCGAGAATCACAGGCAGGGAATTTTATTTTTAAAGCTCTTGTGGTCGACGAGCCGCAGCCAAGCTGGCAGATGCTGGAAACCCGAAGGCCGTATGAGGCCTGAGCGTCTCGTTGTGTTTGTGTGTTTGACGGAGTAAAAACAGGCTTTATAATCGCTGCAGGCCGTGTGTGTGTGTGTGTTACGATGACTGTAATCTCCCTCACACTGAAGCAGCAGTGATCATGTGACCGAGGGGTGGGTTTGCATCAAACATGCCACAATAATGCTCTTGTTTGGTTGTGACGTGAGAAACTGTTTCCGGGTCCAAACATCCGAATCCGTTTACTATTCACTTACACCACTGTGAAATAAAACTAAAAACAATAAAAAATCATTTTGGTGACTTTGTGAACGTTAACTGTATTGAAATAAAACAGTAAAAAAAAATTAAATCTGAAGTGGTTTATTAAAGATACTAAAAGGACACACCGTGAGCGTATATTATCACTGTTTTGGGGTTGTGATGAAGTGTGCGTGTGTTTCTCCAGCAGTTTAATCTGGCACTGCACTATGGGTCAGAAACACACGTGAGGGGCTTTAGGAGTAAACTGGAAGCAGACGTTCACTGTTTGATGATGAAAGGTTAATCGTCTCTTTCTGTGTGTGTGTGTGTGTGTGTGTGTGTGTGTGTGTGTTTGTCAGCGCCCACATCCTTCCTGCTGTTCAGTCAGAAGACAGCCATCAACCGCATGGTCATCGACGAGCTGCAGAGCCCCGACATCATGCTGCCCATCCACAGCCTCAGAAACGTGCGCGCCATCGACTACGACCCGCTCGACCGCCAGCTGTACTGGATCGACTCCAAGCAGAACGCCATCCGCCGCGCGCAGGAGGACGGGAACCAGGTGAGCGCTGCGGCGAGGCCCCGGTGACTGCTGGGATTGCTCTGGACTCGTCTGACCGCTGTTGTGTTGTTCCTCAGAGCGAGACGGTGGTGTCCAGCGCGAGCCTCGGCCTGCAGCCCTACGACCTCAGCATCGACGTCTACAGCCGCTTCATCTACTGGACCAGCGAAGTGACCAACGTCATCAACGTCACGCGCATCGACGGGTCACGGGTCGGCGTGGTGCTGCGCGGAGAACACGACAAACCCCGCGCCATCGTGGTCAATCCAGAGCGAGGGTGAGAGACGCAGATTACAGCAAGACCAGCGTGTTTCCATGCACTGCTCAGCCTGGAGCTCTGCTTCTACATCACGTCTTCTGGCAGACTAGCGCAGATTTAAGTGTTTGCGTCTGTAGATTTCAATCTTTAAAGAGTTTTTTCTTTTACAAACACCAAACTTTACAGTTTCATTCCTCTCTGTATTCTGAAAGTTTGTTCCTATGTAACCCTGCAGCACAAAACCAGTCTTAAAGGTCAATTTTTCTAAATTGAGATGTATGCATCATCTGAAAGCTGAATCATAAGCTTTCCATTGATGTATGGTTTGTTAGGATCGGACAATATTGAAAATCTGGAATCTGAGGGTGCAAAAAAATCTAAATATTGAGAAAATCATCTTTAAAGTTGTCCAAATGAAGTTCTTAGCAATGCATATTACTAATCAAACATTAAGTTTTGATATATTTACGGTAGGAGATTTACAAAATATCTTCATGGAACATGATCTTTACTTAATATCCTAATGATTTTTGGCATAAAAGAGAAATGTATAATTGTGACCCATACAATGTATTGTTGGCTATTGCTACAAATATCCCCCAGCGACTCAACACTGCTTTTGTGCTGCAGGGACACTTATTTCACTCTGATTTATACAACATGTTACTCCTAAAAACATGCTGAAATGGTTTGTTTTCTGTCTGTTGACTGATTTATGGAGTGATGAAAAGAGAAATCCAGAATCCGCTCTGTAGAAACCTTTCACTCGGTCAACACAATCCAACAACAATTATGAACCTGACTTTATGCAGCGTTTAGAAATTAGGGGTGTAACGTATTCGTATTGAACCGTTCGGTACGAGGCTTTCGGTTCGCTACGCGTTCCAAACCGAACGATTCGTTGGAGTAATCCTGTTACATCTGGGGGGAAAAGAGCTTAAAGTGTGTGAAATATAATGTACTCCAGGTTGTGATGATGAGGTATTTCGTTAGTTTTCCGCTTGTGCGCAGTTTACTTTCACTTTCGAACTAGCGGCATTTCGGCGTCAATTGATTGAATTGACAACAACAACACAGTACGACAAACTCACTTAAATTAAACACAGAATGTCATGCTATAGGCCTGATATAAAATAACAAATAACTTACACAAAGTTTAAATGTAAAACGCTGAAAATCAGCAAACACGGTGGAACCAAATAAATAAGAAATGAATCTTAAAACAGCTTAAACGGCAAAAGTCTAAAATATTTTTAAGATCATATGATACTAGTTTTAATTTAAAAAAATAAAGGAAATTTTGTCTGGCGTTTCTTTGTTTTTGCTGTACCGAACCGTTACACCCCTATTAGAGATGTATGCAAATGAGGGCATATTTACTTAGATAATGCCTCGTTTGCATATTTAAGCACAATATTTCAGATACCTGTACTACAGAAGAGTTGTAGCCGTGTCTCCTCACTGTCTGGCGTCTGCTCCGCAGGTACATGTACTTCACCAATCTGCAGGAGCGTTCTCCGAAGATCGAGCGCGCCGCTCTGGACGGGACGGAGCGCGAGGTGCTGTTCTTCAGTAATCTGGGCAAGCCGGTCGCTCTGGCCGTCGACAACGAGCTGGGAAAACTCTTCTGGGTCGACATGGACCTGAGGCGCATCGAGAGCAGCGACCTGTCCGGTGAGATCCTGGGGTCAAAGGTCGTCTCCAGTATGCTTTCCTTGGCCCCGCCCCTCCGTCCCTGACCACTCCCCTCTCTCCTCCAGGAGCCAATCGCATCGTGATCGAGGACTCCAACATCCTGCAGCCGGTGGGTCTGACGGTGTTTGGGAACTTCCTGTACTGGATCGACCGGCAGCAGCAGATGATCGAGCGCATCGATAAGATCACGCGCGAGGGACGCACCAAGATCCAGGCGCGCATCGCCTCTCTGAGCGACATCCACGCCGTCCACGAGCTGCGCATGGAGGAGTACAGTAAGCGTCTCTCGCTGAGCATCATGGGTAGAGCGTCGGCTGGAGTGTGTGTTGATGCCGTGTGTGTGTCTGCAGATAAACACCCCTGCACGTCTGATAACGGCGGCTGCTCGCACATCTGTCTGGTGAAGGGAGACGGATCCACGCGCTGCTCGTGTCCGGTTCACCTGGTGCTGCTGCAGGACGAGCTCTCCTGCGGAGGTACGGGAAATCATGCTGTCAAGGTTTAGAATCATCTTAGAGCTATCGTTCACCTAAAAATGACACGAATTTAAACCGTGCTCCTTGGTGATTCATACAATGCAAGTCAATGGCTGCTTGCTCTTTGAGAGTCAAAAGCGGCAGATCAGGCAACACGGAATGAATCCCAGAGTTCTTATGAAGCGAAACGATCGCTCTCTGCAAGAAACTGAACATTATTTACAGCATTTCGCTTCATCGTCAGGAGCCTGATCTGCGTTTTTTGACTCTCAAAGAGCAAGCAGCCATTGACTTGCATTGTACGAATCACGAAAGAGCACAGTTTCAGCTCAAATCTTCCTTACTCTTCTGAAGAAGAAAAAAGTCACCTATTTCTTGGATGGCCTGAGGGTGAAAATTAACAGCAGTTTTTGTCATTTTTTTAGGTGAACTATCCCTTAACATTCTTCACGTCTGGGCGATTATATGGTTTCTTTTTTTTTATTATTGAAAATGTGACAAAAATTGAAAAATAGGGCAGTAGACATCACAGAAAGTAGAGAAAAATGAACAAACAACAACAAAAAGAATATACCCAAACCACAGAGAGATATATGAGTGAACATAGAATGTGTCGTACAAACATATTCCACAGCCTTTCAATGCATGAGACAGAAAGAGGGGAAAAAGTAGTAACAAAAATAAGAATAAAGTACATTTGTGATATGTGACCCTGTCTGTGAAAACCCAGCTAAAGTCATTTTTTGGTGATTTACTGTTTTCTATATAAAACCATCCTTCATAAGATAACATTCTGTGAAAATTTAACAATTTAAATATCTTTATTACTGGCTGAGTAAGATCATGTCAAAGATTGAAATCTTAGTGAAATTAATGGTTGAAAGCAAACTTTGATGCTTGTTACCTCATAATTAGATGTTGAGATTGGATTTCACAGAGAGGGTCACATATTTTCTACTACTACTAATGCTAATAATAATGTACGATTGAACCATATATGAATATAGTATAATATGTCCTCAGAGCCGCCCACGTGTTCCCCGGAGCAGTTCTCCTGTGTGTCCGGCGAGGTGGACTGTATCCCGCAGGCCTGGCGCTGCGACGGCTTCGCTGAGTGTGACGACAGCAGCGACGAGCGAGACTGTCCCGTCTGCTCCGAGGAGGAGTTCCAGTGCGACAGCAAGCAGTGCGTGGACTTTTCTCTGCGCTGCAACGGAGAAATCAACTGCCAGGACCGATCCGATGAGAACAAATGTGAAGGTAACCATCGCCAGCCGATGCTCGCGGTCTGAGAGCAACTTCCTGCCTGATTCACCCACACTTCCTGTCTGTCTCTGCAGTTCTCTGTCCCATGGATCAGTTCACCTGCGCCAACGGCCAGTGCATCGGGCGGCACAAGAAGTGTGACCACAACACGGACTGCACAGACAACTCGGACGAGATCGGCTGCTGTATGTGTCTTAATCCAGTTAAAAGCCTTAAATCAGACTCAAAAGATGAATTTCCTCAGTATTTTTGCCTTGGTCAGCTGAAACACTGATCGAGAGATTACAGGAGACGGATTGTAAAGTTGTACTCTTTCTTTTAACCTACCTTCGGATGTTTAGTCATGTTTATTTTGTGCTATAACTAGTAATAAAGCAGAGGAGATGATCAGTTCAGTGATCACTCCGCATTAAACCGCGCCAAAACGGCATTTATTGTTTGAATCCTGCAATAAAATGGACAGAATTTGAAATCTGAGACTTTGTTTCATATTAAAAGTAACAAAGCACAATGCTTATTGCGATTTATTGGATGGGAAGTGCCCTTCAGTGTTCCGTCTATTAACTGAAAACAGGCTAGAATAATCCATTCTTGGATTTAAGAATTGATATCACTCCGTAACAATGAGAATCGATTAATATCGAGATGTCTATATTTTTTACCCAGCCCTAGTGTTGTTAAAGCAGCTGTTTTCTTCCTCAGACGCGACTGAAGAGCCGTCCTTTCCTCCCACGAACACCATCGGCTCTATCGTGGGTGTGGTGATGCTGCTGTTCGTGGTGGGCGCTGTGTATTTCGTGTGCCAGCGTGTGCTGTGTCCTCAGATGAAGGACGACGGCGAGACCATGACCAATGACTTCGTGGTGCACGGGCCGCCGCCGGTGCCTCTGGGATACGTGCCTCACCCCGGCTCTCTGAGCGGCTCGCTGCCAGGTGACAGGAACGCCTCGCTGTACAGGTGTAGTGCGTCTGGGCGCCTGCTGACCTGTGTGTCTCTCTCAGGCATGTCTCGTGGGAAGTCGGTCATCGGCTCGCTGAGCATCATGGGAGGCAGCAGCGGTCCTCCGTATGATCGAGCACATGTGACCGGAGCCTCGTCCAGCAGCTCCTCCAGCACCAAGGGCCCATACTTTCCTCCGGTCAGTCGCCGCTGCCTGTCAGGGTCACCGCAGGCCAGAAAAATGTGGGGGGGAAAGTCATTATCATTTTGGGGAAGGAAAAACTATGTCATGTGTTCATTAATCTTTAAAAAGCTTCAGTTGAATTAAAAAGTAATGAATTTTTTGGCTGGTTCGCAATAGATATGCCAATAGATTGGTTATGATCTGCTGTTAATGAGTTATGACAGTGTTTACTTTGTTTATTAAAGCAATAAGCCCCAAGAACCCGAGGTTTACAGTGAATTTATAAAGGCTAAGGGCCGTTGTTAGGCACTCCGCTAAAACCCTCTTAGCTGTTATAAATTCACTGTAAACCACGGCTTCACGGGGGTTACTGCTTTTATAAAACGGTTATTCCATATACGTAGTAAGGTTTCACAAAATAAAACGGAGCAAATAAAGTGTAATGATATTAATAAACACAGTATTCTTCCACCAAACAATGTAGCTCCTCAGAAACAGTTGTGGTTGCTACAAAGTGGTTGCCGAGCAACACACAAACGTAAACAAAGGTGTGTGTTACTTTGTAGCGTCATTTACAACAGCTTCGAACGCGGCTCAGCCAATCAGAGCCAAGCACCGGAACTCTCCGCTTTATAAAGTGTAATTTGTAGATTTTTTAGGATGCATATTTTATCATCTTCATCTGTTTGAATGAGTAGCTGGAAGTAGTAAAGCAAAGACATTTTAAAATAAGAGTCCCCTTGTTTATAATTAGAAGTCCAGCGTTATGCATAAATCTTGTGTTTTTTGTTACGCGATGAACTTTGTGGCACTTGATGTAGACTCGCTCTGGGCTGCCTGTCACAGAAAGGAAAGACTACAAATGTGAACACATTGAGAATGTACATTTTTCTACTATCAGCACAAGGATCTGTTCAGTAGACCTCTGATTCGGATGAATTAGTGTACAAGTATTTACAGTGGGTATAGAAAAGAATCAGCCCCCTTTAAAATAATCACATTTTGTTGCTTTGCAGCCTGAAATGAAGACGGACACAGTTTTTGTTTTATCAGCTGTATTTACTCCGTGCAACTTATAAGATCCAAGTGAAAGATAAAACACCAACATGTCAGAAAAAAAATAAAATACAGAATCTCTTGAGTTGGAAAAAGGATCACTCCCTTGTGTCAGTATTTTGTTGAACCACCTTTTGCTTTAATTACAGCCTTTAGTCTGTAGGGATCTGTCTCTACTAACGTTGTACATCTAGACTTTGCAATATTTGCTCACTCTTCTTTGCAGAACTGCTCAAGTTCAGTTTAATCTGATGGTGAGTGTTTGTGGACTGCAGTCTTCAGGTCATTGCACAGATTTCAGTTTCAGTCTGGACTCTGACGAGGCCATGCAAGCACATTCAGCTTTTTCTCCTTTAGCCACTGTGTGTCAGTTCTGCTGTGTGCTTTGGGTCATTGTCATGTTGGAAGGTAAACCTTCTTCCCATTAACAGCTTTCTGGCGGATTTTCCTCAAGAATTTAGATCGTACTTAGCAGACTGTTACCATTTTGTCTACTTAAAAATGGTAAAAAAATCAGAGTTAACATCAGTAAATGATGAGGTGCCGCAAGGATCCGTGTTAGGCCCTCTGTTATTTCAATATACATGCTGCCACTTGGCAACATCATTAGGAAACACAGAATTAGTTTGATGATACTCAGTTATATATTTCATCAAGACCAGATGAAATTTCTAAACTATCCAAGTTGACAAAATGTGTTAAAGATATAAAACATTCAATGACCAATTATTTTCTTCTATTAAATTCAGGCAAGACTGAGGTATTACTTATTGGACTAAGAATCTCTTAGAATACAGTTTGCAACTAGACGGATGTACTGTTGTGTCCTCATCTGCAGTTAAAGACCTGGGTGTCATATTAGACAGCAACTTATCATTCGAAAGCCATATTTCATGTGTTACAAAAACAGCCTTCTTCCACCTCAGAAACATTGCTAAGCTACGGAACGTGTTATCCGTTTCTGACGCAGAAAAGCTAGTTCATGACTTCTCGACTAGACTACTGTAATGCACTACTGGACTAGTAGTAGTACCTTGGATATCCACGTCCACTAAAGGAGGGAGATCATTTTCCCTTCTGGCCTTTCTTGAGGAGTGGCTTTTTTCTTCAACCCTCACATACCAGCCATGTTGGTGTTTTATCTTTCACTTGGATCTTATAAGTTGCACTGAGTAAATACAGCTGATAAAACAAAAACTGTGTCCGTCTTCATTTCAGGCTGCAAAGCAACAAAATGTGATTATTTTAAAGGGGGCTGATTCTTTTCTACACCCACTGTAAACTAGCTTCAGTACATGTGTATATATTGAATAAATATTATTACTTTATTATTATTTATTATAGTTAGATTAAATTTGGTTTTAAAAGAAACAAATTTAAATGTGAATGTGTCTTTTCTCTGCTATGATTCCAGATCCTGAATCCCCCTCCGTCTCCCGCCACAGTGAGGTCGCAGTATACGATGGAGTTCGGTTACTCGTCGAACAGCCCGTCGACGCACCGATCGTACAGGTAACGGACGGACACGCGTCAGGTGAATGTCCTGCTAGTGTTTATGATTCAGTGTCTGACTGGGAGTGTTTTGCAGCTACAGGCCGTACAATTACCGTCACTTCGCCCCTCCGACGACGCCCTGCAGCACAGACGTGTGCGACAGCGACTACACGCCGGGCCGAAGGGCTCCGCACGCATCCAGCGCCGCCGCCAAGGGCTACACCAGCGACCTGAACTACGACTCGGAGCCGCTACCACCGCCGCCCACCCCACGCAGCCAGTACCTGTCTGCAGAGGAGAACTGTGAGAGCTGCCCGCCGTCGCCCTACACCGAGCGCAGCTACTCACACCACCTGTACCCGCCGCCGCCCTCGCCCTGCACGGACTCATCCTGAGCCCTGCCCACTGCTGTGTAAGCCCCGCCCACCTCCGCATAAGCCCCACCCTGCACGGATTCATCCTGAGCCCCGCCTACCTCCACGTAAGCCCCGCCCTGCACGGACTCATCCTGAGCCCCGCCCACCTCCACATAAGCCCCGCCCACAGCATCAGTGTATATAGCCGGTGGCTGACTTTGACCGGAGAAAAACACGTGGGCGTCTGTCTCGGGTCTGGCGGCTCTCTGTACATTTAAAAGAAAAAGAAAACATATTTATATATTTTCTATACAGTGTTTATTGGTTATGCCATAGAGGTTTGTATTAAAAGAAATTTGTAAATTTTTTTTAAAGAGAAAGTTTTATTAAATCCACACAGACGTGATACGTTGCCTTAATCCAGGAGTTTAGAATCAAACGCGTTCATGCCAAATAGATGGAAGGCCCGTCGCCCCCTGCAGGCTCGGAGCAGCAGCACACTGTGACCTGAAACTCAAACTCTCAATCACCCGCCGGATGAGCTACCAAACAAGACGGTACTCGTATTTTTCTACTATTTTTGTATTGAAGACGTCATGTGGCCTCTGTGCGTGACGAACTTCAGCGGCACCTCGACTCGGACGCTTTAGGGAAACGGACGGGAAGTGACGCGATCCAAACCAACCAAGTGGAACCTTCCCGCAGCCGACGCGTGACGCAGGTCACGTCAGGTCACGTGTGACACACGGCTCACAATCACGGACCACTTCTCGTGCCTGACCGCTTTTTAGAAGACACTTTCAATCATTTTTCACTTTTTTTAAATCTCAGTGCCCACAAAAGGTTGATTATTTTTGTACCACATACTGTGTAGATACTGTATTTATAAGCTATAAAGAAGAATCTTCATATTCATCATCATCGTCATCATCCAGTGCTTCTGTTGTCCTGTTACATCCTGCCATTAATAGTGTCTGGTGTGTGTGTGTTTGAGAGAAAGTGAGTGTGTGTGTGTGTGTGTGTTTGAATGTGTGTGTCTGTTTGAATGCGAGAGTGTGTGTCTGTGTTTGAATGCGAGAGTGTGTGTGTTTGAATGCGAAATTATGTGTGTGTGTGTGTGTGTGTGTGTTTGAATGAGTGTGTGTGTGTGTGTGTGTTTGAATGTGTGTGTGTGTTTGTTTGTGAATGAGTGTGTGTGTTTGAATGCAAGAGTATGTGTGTGTGTTTGAGAGAAAGTGTGTGTGTGTGTGTGT